AGATTTATTATAGAAGGCCTTGTAGCCTGTTACTGCTGCTGACAGGTCAAATCTTAGACAATATCAAATCTGGTTTCTATGTCAATGATCAAATATGACTGGATTTGAATTAACCATAACTGAGCCTCCCAGCTGCTGTATGCTACTTCCTCTGCCAGGCTCAGCTTTCATCGAAGCTCTGAGGGACTTGCATAGTCTTCCCTTTTAACAGATTTGAAAAGATAGATCTTTCTTCAGACTTGCTGTCAGAAAAGTTATGTAGCAATAGCCCCAACATTTGTCCTTCTAAGAATTACAACCCTAGATACCCTGGGATTTTATATGGTGGGCACCAACCCACATCTCAGTCCTGTGAGGCACAGAAGATTCTCATTTAACCCCAACCCTAATCCTCACAGGAAGTATAATTTCAAGACTAACAGCACTCTTTAAAATTTACCATAAAAGACCTTTCATTTCAGGCTGCCTCACTTTCTACAAACCTGTTGGTTTGCCCTATCCAGCAATTCCTGCTGTCCCAACTATTAGAACTTTAAACATAACTAAAAGCTTCACTACAGTGAATTGCATCTTATTTAATTCTGCCCCAGAAAGCTTTCTTCCTAAATTACTAGCATACAGGGTCCAGCAATACTGTTAGCTTTACAGTCCCTTCCATTTCAACCGCACACTAACATAAACAAAAACAAGTGACTATCAGCTTCCAAATATCCTACCTCAAATTCACCTTTCTTCAGTTGATATCTGTACTAGCCTCAGAGGACACAGGACTCCCTGTTCAGCCCTTACTCTCCAAAAGCCTAAATCTAATTCTAGGCCTTCCCCTCATCTCTAAGCAAGTGATTCTACTGTATGGTAGATATACTACTATACAGCCTCAAACCCTGTCACTACAGCCCTCTCCCTAGCAGTGCAGCCATGGGAGGGTCCAGAAGGATAATTCACTTTTTTTCTTTCCTATGGCAATGTCTCTCTTAGAGGACTGAAAATGCTGAGCCATAAAAAAAGTCCCCAGCAGAGAGAAATCTCAAATAACCAGGATGAAGACTTCACTGAGATGGCACTGCAGACTGTGCTAGAATATCTGTGTGCATGCACAATATGTAGGCTTGTGTTTACTGGGGAGGACAGTGCTTATGCAGCGTTGTACCAGGTAACTGCAAAACTGTGCAAGGGAGCTCTCAGGCTACTGCACAAGATAGCTCTTAGGAGTCTGTCTTCATCAGTCGCTGTCTTACAATGGATTCTCAAGAAAACGTCTAGTTTTCAGGACAATTTGTCAGATCATGGCTGACAAGCTAGGTATGGATCTATTTGTTTCTCGTCTGGAGTTGTTCGGATTGGTACTAGCATTTATAAAGGAAGGTACTGAAGAGGTAGCTTTTCTGCTGCAACCTGAACAACTTGTGGAGATAACATAAGTCTAGTCAAACAGAGGTAACATATCACAATAATCATACACCAGTATTCTCTTGGGGAACCATTTTGTAATTTTCTCTACATTAAAAGTTGGGGTTAGAATTTGGATTAATTACAGTGTACAAAAAACATACGGGCTTTTTTCCTGAACATTGCTAGGCTACAGACACAGAGTGTGCTATAACCAGGAATGGTGTCCTGGTTAATGATTAGATCAGAATCCATTATAGTTGTCCTACCTACACTGAACATTTGGACAAAGCATCAATCCTTTGCTGCAACTTTCTGGGACTGCACCACTAAAATAAAGGTGGCCTTTGACTAGTATGTCTACCTTATGACTAGCATTGAGACCATTTTAAGTGTCTTGGTTACTGTAAAAGCTAGCACTAGAACTGTCATAATTATAACAAACAATATACAATTCAGGAAGGGACATCTGGATATTGGATTATCTGGTCCAATCTCTTGTTCAGTACAAGGCCAATTTCAAAGTGAGATCGGCTTGTTCAAGGCCATGATTTAATTGAGTTTTGGGTACTACCAAAGACAGAGATACACCAAGGATAGAAAGCAGCAAAATAAACGCTGAAGAGCTGTAATTTTTAAATTGTGTTACGGTAAGGCAATCCAGGTTACCTACCTTATGATAAAAGAAATACCCCTACCTACCAGTTGAGTGTGTGCAAGCATTTGAGAGAGCAGAGGACAAGATTAAGTACCAGAAAGATACAATAGCATCTGTCACTAGAAATACTTGAGAAACAAGGTTTCAGAATGTGCATTCTTCTGGCAGCCAGTGTAACTCAACAGAATTTGAGTGACTATGCTTGGGAACTGAGTGTCATGACCACAGTATCACAAGCATTAGCTCACCTCTAGGTTGCACAAATAGCACACAGTCAGCAGAAGACTAATTTTACCCAGCTTCACTTCTGAAAAGATATGGCCACATTCATCCAAAACCTGCATTAATTTCTCGAGCCTTCTGGTATTTGAAGGAACTTTGACATCTACAATTGTTATGAACTTTTAAACAGATGAGAACAAACAGTTCTTCCATGACAGTAATTATGTAATTCCTACAGGAAAGAAACCCCACTGCTTAAGTGAGCTACTAAATCAGGAAATAAGTTTCTGCAGTATCTTCATAGTTTCAGTACAACCATTTGTGCTGCTATTTACAAAACGCAGATGTCCCGTTCCAAACATTTTTACAGATACCTCCTGACTCCAATCGAGGCCACTACCTAGACTTTACTTTTCAGCAAACAACTTTGTTCATCTGAATTTAAGACAGTTATAGTGTACTTTTGAAAATTTTTTAAACATATAACGTATCCCTGAAGGGCTCCTGTTTCTAAAGCTTTTCACGGTATTTTAAATTCCATGTTTTCAATAAGCATTCTGTAATCAGCTCATCAGCCATGAGGAAAGCAACACTAAACAGGCTTGGAACACAGGAGGAGGTACTGCTGAGCCAATTACTGAGATTTTTCTGTTTTGTAAAACACGGTGCCCTAGTCTTAACAACGACATCTTTGCTCTCGGGCCACCAGGCCTCTTTTGTTTCCCAGGTGCAGTCCCAGGGGCGGCGAGAGAAGCCGAGTGCAACGTCCTGCTTCCTGGGGCCCGGCCAGCTCCGCCAGACACCGCCGGCCCGCACCCAGTGGCGGGCCCGGCGGCGGGAAGCTCCACCGCGCCCCCAGGCCAGCGCCCGCGCTGGCGGCCCGGG